CAGCCCTTAGGTAGTATGAGGATTCAACCTGTGCAGTACCTGCAAAAGTCTTTAGATAAATAATGATGTAAAGGTGTGTGAGATACTAAAGATAGGAGTATTACAACCTCCAAATTACTTATATTCCCAGATATTCAATATGAAGAAAGTAAGGAACTGATACTATCAGCATAAAACATACACCCACATGTCTGTAGGTTTTACACTAGCCAGTTGTCATCTCCTCTGCGCTTTCTTGAACTTCAGTTATTAAACTCTACAGCAGTTATTAATGTTACTCTGATACAAGTTCATCTATTTTGCAGTAACACATACTCCGCTGGATAGTATTAGATGTCTGACTTATGGTGGCTGGTGTGTGTGTTGTGTGTGTGTATATATATATATATATATATTTTGAAGTATGTAAGAAGAAGTATTGAAACCATAGATTTGAAGGGAACCAAATTTTGAAGCTACTTTAGCATATGGACAATCTATGCCTTTCCTGTGCCTCGTCTCATCAGCCAGAAGGTTTGTTTATTGAGCTCTTTGAGTGCTTCAGGAATAAGAGCGTTATGCCCACAGTAAATTGGGTCCAGAGACAAATAAAGGACTAGTGTATAGAAAACTGAGAGATGGAAAAGCTAAACCGCAAAGTGTGTGATGTGCTAGGAAAGTGCTGCTAGGTGCTCTGAGTTGTGTAGGTCCTCAGCTCTTAACCCTGCGCAAGAGGTGTGAGATACGGTCCTGTATAACAAGTTACTCTTGCACTGATCTGACCCAGGCATGTATGAGGAAGGCACCTACTGCGAGCCCAGGAGCTGCCTGTTGGCCGCAAGGAAGATCTCATCCTAGCTCCTGGCACCCTGTGAATACCCAAATAACCAAACAGCTCCCAGGGCCATTAATCGTGAACGCCACTGCCTCAAACTCTCCCGCTCCCCAGCATCACAAGGGGAGCCTGTTTGTAAACAGGGCAGGTCCCCGCGCGCGCCGGGGCCAGTGTTTTTATTCACACCCAGTGAACAAACACCTCCTTTGTGCGTGGGGGCGCGACCTGCCGCTGCGGCCGCGCGGGGTCAGGGAGGGCCGCCCAAACCTCGCGCTGCGCTCGCTTTCCTCCAGCACTGCGCGGCGGCCAGCAGAGCTGTTTCCTGTTCTTTGTTTCAAGGCTGGGGCTTGCGTCACGCATTCCTGGTGGCATGTGTGCTGCGCTTTCCTGTCCTGGGCCCTGGGCCGCCCCACCGGGCCCCTCGCGCCCGGCCAGGCCCCTCGCGCCTGGCCACCCTCTCGCCCACGCGGCTGCGGTGCCTCCTGCCCTGTCGCGGCGCGCTGGAGTTAACCTTGAGCGCGCGGCCCCTCTGCTCCAGCAGGGCATGAGCCAAAGAGCCACTTTGCCAGAAACTTGTGCTCGGCTCTCTGGAAAAGAGCCCGCCTGGTTTGTGTGCTCAAACGCCTGCCGGGTTGGGATAGCCCCGTGCGGTGCCAAACATGGCGGGGAACAGGCGCAAGGGCAGCACGAGGCCCGTGAGAAGCCACCTTCGTGGGCTCATGTCTCTAAGAGTGGCAGCTCCTGTCCCATCCCAGCCGTGCAGCCACCTGGGGCACCTCGCACATCTTATCCTCATGAGAGCTCACACCTTGGAAGGAACATGAGTTTCTCCATCATCTGAGTTAGGGAGTTCACTGTCTTCCAAATTTAACACAAAAAATGAGACACTGATGCCTCACTTTTTGGAATGAGTAGGTATGGATAGTTTGTATTTTACATTTTTGAAGGAGTATTTGCAGGAATAAAAATGATCTTTTTAATTTTTTACTCCTAGTTTTATATTTGCCTTAGCCCTCACTTCCCCCCTTCCCTGTGACAGGCAGGCATAGAGAAACATCAGGAGAAAATTCAAAAAGAGAACATAGATCTTTCTGTTGCTCTGAGTCTGTCTGCAGAAGAACCTTTGGCCGAGAACCTTAGCCAAAGCTCAGCCAAACCAGGAGAAGGAACTCTGCAACTGCATTTACTTCAGTGGGCTTTGCATCAGGCCACGGATGAAAATGCAAGATGCAAGAAAATGCATTTCTTCCTCACTGTCACTGATGTGCTGGAATATGCATGTTTTGAGTATACACTCAAATACACTTAATGCTTCCACCCTTTTATTCTACTCCTTTTTTATTTCATTCATTTCTTTAAGTAACATTTTTTGTTTTGCAGCTGCTGTGTCAGATGCCAAATATCAGTTGTTTGTGCTCATTGCAAGTGCCCTAAGTCCTATCAGAAACGTGTATGAATTTCCTCTTTCAAGTGCTTAATTATATATGAAAAGTTGTTTTTGCTAAGTGCAGACTATGTGCATGTCCTTATGTCAATTTGTTTCTTTTCCCTTCAGAAATCCAGATAGGAAGTGGTGTTTGGCCACACAGTTTTGGTAAGTTATTCATTCATTGTTTTTGTTGCTCTTGGTTATTTTACGTAATTGTTTTTCTGTTTGTTTTAGAGTACTGTTCATGAGGCTACTCAGTAGAGTCTGAGTAAATATCTTTTAATTCTGAGGGTGTTAATTTGCACACAATTTCAATCATATTTAAACATTTTTCCAACGACAGAAAAAAAGTATTGCATTTAACTGTAGTTTAATATTTAAAACTAGTGTGTAATTGCAGTAAATGTGGTAAATCATAAATGTAAAAAAAAAATTGTGGCTCACACTTTCAGTAACCAGAACTCTTACAAAATCTCAGACCGAGATTAAAGTTATAACAAGCTTATAAACCAACTTTTTAATATTAATTAACACTGCTAACAGGAGATCTTTTAAAGGTCTTTTATTCTGTCAGCACTGAAGCTTTGTGTTTTCATTCCAAGGCTAGTTGCTTCCAATCCAGAATATGAAGTTTGGCAGAGTTGGTTTCTGAAGCGATTTAACCCTTCCCTATTAAGAGCTCACTTGATCTGAGACTTGCTTTTGTGGTTTTGGTAGCCATGGTGGATATCTCTTGAGGTAAAAAAAAAGTGTAGGCACGCAACCACCAACTAGAAACATAAAGCTACAGCAGGTTTTTAAATACTAAACAAGGTAAAAATCAAGGGAAAATAAATCTGTCTTGTCTGCCCCTCATGAAGTCAGTGTTTTACTGACAAACTTTATACACAGAGGCAGACCAGAATTTCCTAAGGAGTCTAAGCTGCTTTGATCGCAGTCTCATTGGTACCCACTATACTCTTCCCTTATATGCACAGAAGTTCGTGGACATCTGCCCTACGTTCAAATTCTGATTCAAACTGTGAACTTACACCATTATTTATAAATGTATACTTCCTTACTTCAGGATTTGAAATTTCTTTCTTCTGCCCAATCCAGTTAAAACTGTTAAATCTCTGTCTCGTGCTTGATCAAATATTAGAACCCTATACAGTAGTAAACAGTATTTTCTCTCATTCCTTTTTAGATGTGATGAATAAGATTTTATATTTTCCCTGTAAAATTATCTTCAAAATTAACCCCTTAAAAACAACCACAACCACAAACAAAAAGCAAAGTCCAGTTTGTAAGGGGAAGATCGTCATACCATTCCATATACTTTGCTTGTTTTCAAACTCTGATCTTTTCTCCTCACTAGACTGTTTCTCCTTTTAAGCAGTAGCTTGAAACAGGAAACCAGACAGCAGTCGGCCCTGATAAGGGAGAATATTGTCTAATGGAGGTGCCTCACCGTCTTTTCTTTCACTCCCCTTTAGGTTCACTAAATGTAGAGCCAAGGACTGAACAGGGTTTACATAGGGTCCATGTTTCCTTGGTGGAAGTGACATGTTCTAGGAGCACTGTACAGACTTCTTGCCTAGGACTTTTGCATACGAGATGTCTGTTTTCAGGCATGTAGCTTCAACGAGCCTGCAAAAGCGTTGTCGCAAACTTCATTGAATGCTGATTAGTCTGCTACGCAGCTGATAAATGATTATGTCAGAGTAGCTCTAGGTCAAACAAAGTGACGTCAGCAAAGTCAGGATGCACAATTGTGCAAAATACCAGATATTTCAGCTTGCTTGAAGTTCTGAAAGTAGAAAAGTAAAAGATTTTCAGGTCAATATAAAACATAAATAAGCTGAGATTCCTTATGCAGAAAGGGCAAAAAAAGGATTTTGTCACACCGAAGTGGAACATTTAACTATAAAGGTTTACAAAATAATAATTCTGATTGAAAGAACTGAAGTCTCTTATTTAAAAGCATATTAGATGACCTCTTGAGGTCATCTAGTCCAGTTACTCCTTTAAGATGCAACATTGCTCTCTCTGGAATTTCTGCATTTTTTAAGTGGCACAACTCAATGAAATCTAAATGAAATATTGTTGTTGAACAAAATATTATTTTTCTTTATACCTAAAAAGCAAAACTTTTAGCTGAGATCATATCTTGCATTGGTATCACTTTTATTTTTTTAACTCCATGTCCCAACATTTTCAATGGTTACTCCTTTTTTTCAATTGAAATGCAGGGAATAAACCGTCAGAGAAGGCTGCTGCATAGGAAAGCTCTTTCTTGCTGTGCTAGTGCTTTACAGTTTTCCCACTAGTCTTTTTGGGGGCTGATGTGTTTCATTCGGCCTGCGCTGTGTCCAGGCCTTCATTCCTTCCTCTGCTCTTGCTTGCTTCGACTGAATCCAACTGCTGTGCTGAACTTGAGAGTTTCTTTGCCTGCTGCTATTTTGAGGCCCAGTGCAGTTAAGCACTTGCTTACTTCCCATTAAAGTCCATGGAGCTTTTTTTTTTGCTGACTCAGGTCCTGAGGAGCAACTGGTACTGTAAGTGCAAACAAATCCTGTCGCCAGCTCTGGTAAACATGTCTTTGACCCCTTCCTGGGAGTCCTGTTGCCAGAAACTCATTGTTTTTCTACATCTGACTGTCTTTTGAGGTTGCACTGGAGAATATTCCTCAGCCAGCTCCACAAAGCCTCCCCACCGTTTGGATTTCATCAGTGGAGCTTTCTGATATAGTATCAGAATATCACTTCTCCTTAACATCAGGGGAAGTTTGGCTTGAGGCTCCCAGAAGAAGTAATAGTTTCAGAACAGCAGAGTAAGTTTCAAAGGGCTCAGACCAAAGCACTCTGGCCACGTCGCTTGCGTTGGCGGCTGGATAGATCTGCAGCATCTTTGTGGGAGACGCTCATGCAACTCTCATAACGCAATGACATCTGCTAAATTTTGTAATTAGACTAACAGTAGCAGTACTACTTGGAAGCTGCCAAGCCTCCCTGTACCACAGGGCAGCATTCCTTGTGCTTCCTCAGGCACAGGGATTGAGAAAACAAGCTCCACGCATGGCTTTGTTCAGGAGAGGGGCAGAAGTTACGGTCACCACCCCCCTGTCCACCGCCAGTGGTGTCAGGTCTCTGCTCTGGCAGGGGGGTGGTGAGAGCTCTGTGCTGGAGGGAGGATTTGCAGTTAGTCAAGACGGGCCCTCCACCCCACCCTTTCCTTTCATAACAGGTCTTCAGAGCTGGTGGACCTTGAAGGTAGTGCCCAGAGCAGCCTGCAGTAGCTGCACTGCAGTTGCTTTTCTGCAGCTGTTCTGCACTACGGATGTGTCGTCTGGGGCCCTTCTTTAGTTGTTCAGTTCATTTCAGCCACAGTGGATAATCTGTGCAAAGAATTGTCAGAGAATATAAGCATCTTTAAGCTTTCATTTACTTGCATCTATCACACCATACCAGGGAATTAATGTCAAGAAATCTCCCATCTGGACAGAAAAAATAACTATTCTGGTGATAAACATTCCTTTTGGAAGGGATAATTTGCTGCATATTGGATCATCTTTAAAGAAATAGTTCCTTTAATTATTAAGGGGCAGAGTTTATATTTTTCTAGCTTACTGTTTTTGCTGGACTTCAGCTCTGAAAATGGTGAGGGACTTTGCCTGGACTTTACCTTGCACCTGTCCTTATTTGCATACAAAAACCAATTGCTTCATTTGTCTTTCTGAAGTACAGGGTGTGAGCAAAACCTTATCAAAAGCCATGTCCTGTTTGGACAAGTTGGACTGCCTTGGCAGAGATCCACAGGGTGGAGTGGATGGGAGGAGGCAAGAAAGTAAAACTGGGCGGCTTGTTAGCAGAGAGAGAGAGAAGGGAGCAAAAAAAAAATGGTGGAATGTTTGCCTACTGGATTGCAGTTAATTATTTAGTTTCAGATTACGTGCATTTTAAATCTTTTTTAACCCACATTAAAAAAACCTTATAATGTAAAACAGTTTATACAATATGTGAAAGACAAAGGCTCTATTTTTTAGGACGCTTAGTATAAATGTATTGTTGTCTTCCTACTTCTTTCTTTGGGGCACCTCAGGAATGAGAGTCAGTGCTTCAATTTTCCAGTAATTAATTGTATTTACTAAACAATTTATGGGCTTTCAAACAAGTACATTATGAAATCAAGTGTGTACAGTAGAACCCAACTGTTTTTCATTCCTCTATAATAGAAACAGATAACACTGTTTGCTTTCCCTATTGCCCCCTTCTCAAACATTTAGCAGAGAGAGATTGAGAATTTTTTGAGTAGCAGGCTTTTTTTTTAATTGGAAGTAGCATGCTTTATTTGTGCATGTGTGTACATGTGTGTTTACATTTTCCTGCTAGTGAACAGGGCCAAGTGATCGATTTGCAAAGGCTTCTTTTTAAATGCAAAGAAGATTGTTTCATGGGTTTATTTGTAGTCTTGGGAAAGTGTCATTCTGAGCTAAATTTTAAATGCCAGACCCAAAGCTGGCTTCTACTGTAGCAAGCGTAGCAGCTGTGTCAGCTTCCACAGGGTCAGGATCTGACCCTCCAGTCTGGACCTATAGAACCAAGCACCATGTATTAACTCTTTTCCTTTTCTTGAAAATCTGTTTCCACTTATTATCAAGCTGGGAGAGAAACCTACCTCTGAAGAGTAATGTATGTTAAAGGAATGCTCAATTTCTGTACTGTGGGACAGCAAAAAAAGTAACATTTTCCTCTACTGTTCTTAGATGACTGCAAGTGACAAAGATTAAGAACTATTCTTTCGCTTTTGCTCAGTGCAGTACACTTTCTATTTTCAATGTCAGTCCAACTCCTGCACAGTAATTTAGAGGCCTTCAGGAAACACTCAAATATGTAACGTGACATGAGAAATGCATATCAAGTGTCTTTCACACACTTTCTTGAAGAAGAAGGAGAAAAGAAATAACTCTTGAATTGAAGAAAATCCAATTGTAAAACCACAAAGTGACAGAAAGAAAAACCTGGGAGTGTGATGGCTTACTTAGAACTACTTTCTTTCTTCCTTTTAACTGGCTAAAAGAGTTGGTGTGCCACTTTATCTATGAACATTTGAACTAAAAATTGAGAGTTTCTGGAAACCTGAGCAAGTAGTTACATATTCTTATATATAAGGTCTAAAAGGTTGCATTTTACTGTAAATATTTTTAATATCTAAAATATACATCAGGAGAACAGAATTGTTAAAAACTTGGTTCAAAGAAAAATAACATAGTTCATTCTCAACATCTTACCACATATTTAAAATACTTAATAAAACAATATTTTAAATTTAAAATGGAAACCTCATTGAGATACTCTTTTGGTTTCACTTTATTTTTGCAGTTGGTTTTATCAAGCCATTAACTTTGGTAAGAGGAATTATGAAGATACTTTTATTTACTTTTTAGAAATAAACCAGCTTTATTTCCAGTATTCAAATAGGACACTGTTATAATATTTTTCTATAAGTCATCAGGGTTTGTTCACACACACAAATCCATGATTGACTTAGAAACTCATGCCATCTTCCTTTGAAAGTTCTCACCAATTCCTTACCTATAAACACACATGACAATTAAATGTTGCAAGACTGTTCATTAGTGTAGGCTTATTAGAAATGTTCTCATTTGAAGTAGGTATGTCTTAGACATTTAATTGAAATCTCTGGGAGAATTTTCTGGCCATAAGAATTTAGAATTGATAAAAAATTACAAGAGTCCTTCTTAGAAGCACGGTGCTGTGCCTGCTGTGCTCAGGTGGGCCTGTCGGAGCATTCGCACTGGTTTCTTTCCAGTGCCACCTGCTGGTGGCAGCTGGGTCTGTGTGGTGTCCTCGCACCCTACGCAGTGTCTAGGCAGAGCTTTGCGGGGTAGGGTGCATGAGCAGAACTTGCTCATAATATGTGTAATCCCAGGAAATTTTTAAAGACAGGATCAACACCCAGCTGTCGTTGGGACAGGGTGCCTTCACCTCCCTCAGCTTTTCTCTGGACTCTTTCTGGGCCACCCCAGAGCTGTCTCCTCCTCCTCCTCTTTCTCCTCTCCTTCACATTTCTTCCCAAGCTGACCATGGCAGAGATACAATATGATAGTTAAGCTCTAATATGCTTTACACTACATGCTTTTATCTCAGGCAGTTCAGAATAAGCTACAGCTGGACAAGCAGAAAATGATAGGAAGAAACACCTGAGGCTGCACAGAATAACCTCCAGATTGTTTTGAAATGTTGAGTTTGCTCAGTTAGCACAAATGGCTGTTGCCTTGTCGGTAAATCTGTTCCTTCAGGGATATAACTGAGGTATGGCTTTATGGGAGGTCGCTGCAGCACATCACATGCACCTCTCCAAATTAGCCCTCATTCTTAATTGCCCTCCTTTTGCACCGATTTCAGTGCCACTGTACCAGATAGCTTCAGCTTTTTTGCCCAGACCCTGAGGGGAAGGGCAGGCTCTCCAGAACCAGTTCACTCCACTGTCAGCTAAACAAGTTGTTCTCAAGCTGGAGCGTTGTTGAAAAATCATGGTCTGAACCATGAGGTGGTGCTTTCCACACTGACAGCAAGTGAGAGTTGAGAATACTGTGGCCTTGATGTGCTGCTGTGCACTGCAAAAATTTAAATTAACTTCTGT